AATGTGAATGATTTCTATTAGAATCGAGACAGACGAAACTAAAACGGTTTTCGAATCGAAGACATTTGATAAGTAACGAGCGAAGTGAAGTTTTGAGGAACTTCGCACATAAAGAGGTGTCTTCGTCGAGATTGAGATAACAAAAATTACATTCTCAAATACAATTGAATTTGCTGGTTATAAAACCAAGAAATAATCTCAAAATCCCTACTGAAATTGAAGAAATCCAGTGGTCCCTCTGAAACCCTCTGAAAGCGATGAAGAAATCCCCCTGAATAGCAGATAATTGCTGTAAACTAAAATTTCAGGTACGATGGTTTGCCTGCACTATTCTACTACAATACGGACGCATCGGTAGAGTTGAATCGTCCGAAGGCCGTTCCGGCTCGTTTCAATTTTTATCCTCCTGCTGACAATGCTTATCTAGACATCATAATAATGGAACGTTCGCTGAACGGTACTTTCTTGGGCGTGCGAACCCTTTCCGAGAGCAATCTCATCGTTTGTGAACTGCAAAATCGCCCGAAACTGATCCAATTCGGCATGGCATACCATCGCAAATGTCGTGTCTCCGTTGACTTTCTGCTGGCTTCAACTCGTCGAGACCGTCGTAATCCAGCCACAACTTTCATGGAATTCTATTTGCGTTTCCAAAATGAACAAACTCCAAACTTGACTCAGTTGTGCGCAATACCGATTCTTGACGAGAATATTCGAGAAAATGGACAGTTCGTCAATCGTCTGCCACAAGATGAGATCAGCAAATGGATTCTAACAGAGCGAACCTACTTCGTTGACACCGTCTCTTTGGCAGATGTTACTAAACAGAATCATCCAACCGTTTCTAAAGGAGGCTATATACGATATCCAGCCTACATATCTGTTGAGATACAAATACAGGTANGTGATCCGTATGGTCTTCCCTATACAAGCCTTGTGTTCAAGTGATTAAATTCCAAATATGGCCTGAATCGTTTACAGTATCTGAAGGTGAACCCACCTTATGGCGCAGGCGTATTAGTATATCATCTATGCTCAGTAAAGTTAATAGCATCAGCTAATTAGCCCTGGTTACTAATTGTGAATCAATTCACTGATGATTTCAGTCCCAAAAAGACGGTCACATAATGCCACCGTATATTCGTATTCGGCATGCTGAAATCGAAAGGGACTCAGAGACGAGTCCAGAAATGGCATTTGAGATTAAATATTTCATGGACGGAACGAGACACTACAAAGATCTTGAGATCACAATGGCTGTGCTGGGTGCCTTCACGGTAGTATGGGCTGCTGTTGCTGCTTACAGGTACAGAATTCAATTGGATCGAAATTTGAAATAACCACTAATACGAATCGGATGCATCATTTTATAATATGCGACTTTGTCATACGAATAATACCTTATGAATATTTTTTGATAAGTGAGATATAAAGTCGGAACAATGAGATATATGAATATGAATATTTAAATGAACAGTAAGATGTGTGAACAATTTGTCAAATTATCCAGTAAAAAAACGCAATCAAAATGTGATTATTCCGAGTTTTTTGCCACAGTTGGGGACGACGTGCCGGCAAAATGATCATTGATCTGGTCACAATATGTAAACTGATTCTATTCGAATGTGGCATTCTTGGTGATGTCTTCTTAACAGTTATAATGTCAATGGCCGTTTGGATCACATTTGCGTATAAAGCACAAAAACTACCATACTACGTTATGCTATCGAGTGAACAGGTTAGCAGCAATACCGAATATGATTTCAATTGAACACTCATTCGTTATTTATGTTTTCAGACCAATACTTATCTATTTCTTTTTTCGTGTTAATCAATAAAATAAAAAGTAGTGCAACAAGGTTGATACATATGAAATATGTTGTTCCGACTAACAAGATACGATAAAGTATCAATCATCAAAAACAAAACATTGGTTGAAAGAAACAACCACATAAGTCATTATGAGGACAGTGACTAGAATCACGAAGTCAAGTAGCGAATCCCACCGAGCGAGCTCCAATAATACACTGTAACCTCTTTCTGAAGCTCGCAAGGAACAATCAGATCCTATCGTAACTAAAACAATATTATACTGAACGGTCTCCGCGATAGCTCAGAAGTAGAGCGCTAACCGGTAATTAGTACGTCGCAGTTTCGATTCCCGTTCGTGGAGGAAAGTTTTGCTCGAAACCGAGTGGT